CTGAACGACCTTGAGGTAGCATCCTACGGATATCAGTAGGTAGTTCGTCAAGCAGTGCATCAATGATTGATAGGTGAGTCTGGAGCCAGTAGCAGACTGCAATCCATCAGGCACAACACGAAGTCGAAGCAGTCCCTGCAACCACTCCGCCAACCCATCGAGCAGTCTCTAGGTATGTCAGCACGTTCAACAGGTCGTTCATCCAGTGCAACATCGATCGGTAGTGCAGAAGGTGAAGCAGTCCAACAGTCAACAGGGACGAACCCACCACCAGCTCAATCAGCAACATCATCGACTCGTTCATCGGCAGGATCACCGTCAACGGTATCACGACCAGCTCCAGCATCAACAGTACCATCGACGACGTAACCTCCAGACCAACGACCCCCGGGTGACCAAACGACAGGAAGTGCATGCAGACCGACAACAATGACATCGTGATCAACAGGACCGCCACCCCGATCAATCCCAAGGACCCAACATCGAGGACAACGACCTCACGTTCGACTGGAAGGACATGAACATCGCCATCATCACCAAGAGCAGCCTGAACTTGTAACCACCAACGTCATGAACGCAGACACCATCATCACATACGACGGAAAGGACGTCACCATCAACTCCGAGGAGTCCACTGAAGGATATCCGACCGTCGGAGACACCATGATGATCGATCATCAGGTGCCCCATCAACAGGAAGATCGGAAGGACATCATCATAGACCCCAACGACATGAGGATCAACAAGTCCAGTACGGTAACCCTGATAATCAAGGATCACACGCTCATGAACAGGAACCAATGATGCAACCAGGATCATCAGTAGGGAACATGCAATCATCAGCTTCGTGATCAACAAGGAGTTAACGACCATTAACTCGATCGTCAACAGTATCAGCATTACATACTCCATCAACAGCAGAACTACGAGTCCATCCTCTCAAACAGGGCCAGTGGATGCAGCTTCGATTGGTAGATGTTAATCAAGAGAAGGAGGTCACGACTGAACGACACCCTGCAGCAGCCCCACCCACAACCAGTCTCATCATCCAGTGCAGCAGTGATCTTGAGTGATGCGAGGTACGAGCATGCGGTTCATCAGTTGATAGTGAAGTCGGTAAGCGAAGCGACCTCGTCAGTCTCCCTACGGATATCAGTAAGTACCTCCATCACATCAAGGTCCAACCAGTGCAACAGTGATGGGCAGAGTTCGAGGTCAAGCAGTAAGTGAGCCTTCGAACGACCCTGAGCAAGGGCCTCCCTACGGATGTCAGTAGGTTATCCACGACCAACAGCCCCAAGGTTCAACAGCAGTTTGCATGAGTAACAGGCGATCCAAGGTCCGAACGTACAGTCGATGAGTTGGTAGCAAGTGCAGTGAAGGGGGTGTTAGCGCCGGGAAGGAGCCTCACCCGTAGGGCCGCTTGCGGTCATCGCTTGCGATGATGAGGCGGATGACCAGAGCGTGGCCCCGTAACGGAACGACCCCGTGCACGACCAGTCCATCAGGATCATCATCAACAGCGAGGAGCCGTGCAGCCAGGATCGTCAACTACAAGGAACTCAGGGTCATACGATTCATCGTCAACAGGACGACAAGGTCACCTACTCGATCAACAGCAGGACGCCACAACCCCAACTTCTTCACCAGCGAAGGGCACGGTTCAGCCAAGATCGTTAGTCAGGTTGATGCGAGGTACGAGCATGCGGTGAGTCAGTCAGTCAGTGTAGAACAAGTGAAGAGTGAGCCCGCGAACGACGTAGTAGCAGTCTCCCTACGGATGTCTACTCAACAGATTCAACAATCGCTATCCAGGGCATCAAGGATCGGTAATCAGTCTAGGAGAGCATCAGTAAGCGAAGCGACCAGGTGCAGGTCCACCACGAAGGTCCGTAACTGATCCATTAACTCAAGGTCTGATCATACGTGCAGCAGTGATTGATAAGGTCATCGGTGAGTGAGCCTGCGAACGACCCTTCGACAGTGTTCCTACGGATGTCAGTACGCTTCATGATCAAGGCCCATCCGTCATCTCAACGGCAATCGGTAGGTAGTGATGCGAGGCACGAGCATGCAGCCTGTTAGTCAGTAACCAGTCTAAGTGAGTGAGCCTGCGAACGACCTCGTGTAAGATTCATCCTACAAATATCAGTAGTTCACCATCAAGTGCAGCAGCGATCGGTAGAGTTCCTAGTCAGTAGTAGTGTACGAGCGAGCGATCCCCTGAGACCTCAGGGGTGAGGAGTGAGGGAGTGTTAGTAAGCGAAGCGACCTCGTTTAGGAGTCAGAGCAGCAGGAATCTTGAGGTGTCAGCAACCGTAGGGCGCTAGGAATCTGGGTAAGTTCCACCGGACGAGGGGCCCCCTCTGGGGACGATACCGGACAGCAAGGTGGTTGCTTATCCCACTGAGACCTACTGACGGTGGAGTTAGGTGCAGCCCAAGTTTCTAGGAGAGCGAGGCCCCCCCCCCTGGGGACGGAAACAACAGGGCTTGACCGAATCACAACCCAGCAAACCCCAAGGACCCCCCAACGACGTTCCGGTCCATCGCTCCGGTGGGCACGCTCCAGTCGACCGGGTGGCCTGCGAGTTGCGAACCTTACACTTCCAGACCCCCTCATCTCCGTATCCCATGCTCGTAGCCCTTCGGGTGGCTTCGCCATCCCCGCAAGCGGGGACTACTGTGCGTGGGTTACTCCGAAGAGGGACTCCTCCAGTGACGGTACGCAAGGCCACCCTCCTTCTCCTTCCACTACCACCCACCTCCACGATGAACCTCCACTCCACCACCCAACTGCTGAGGGACTCGAACCCCCACCCTCCGCACCAGAGACGGAGATGCTAGTGTTACACCAAGCAGCGGACACCCCAACATCACGACCCCCATGTGAAGAGCAGGCTCTCGTTAGCGGCCCCAGCACACGACGACCGATTCAACAACGGGCGGCCCCTCAACGCAAAACCATCCGGCCAGCAACCCCGCAGAGCCACCAACGGAACGATCCCACGATCAGAGCACACCAACGGCCACCGTCCCCAGCCCAAGTAGCGACCAAGATCCAGCAGCGACGACCCCCACCATGAACACCCAGCAAACCCTTCCCCGCACAGCAACGCCCACCAAGTCACCCCTCTCACGAGCAGCCCTCAGTATGCAGACGTGTTGCCATCACCATGCAGTTCCAAGCCCACCAAGCACCCCCAACAACGATCGCCATAAACCGTGCCAGCCCGCACCCCAACGCACCTCTGACGTCAAGGCAGCAGCCAACCTACCCCACCCCCCACAGTAGCTTCCCACACGCATCACGACCACCCCGGTTTGATGACCAGAGCACGCAGCCCTCATCGTGATCTCCACCCACACCCCCACCACAGAGATGCAGGACGGCCAGCACAAACGTATGGAACGAACCCTGCAGACATGGAGGCACCGCGGTCAACACAACCCCACCGCACCCTCAACGAAACCAACACCCCCACTCAACCAACAGCCAACCACCCCACGCCCCACCGCAACCCCAAAGGATCCCGTCGAAGCCCCCCG